TTTGGACCGTTTTGTAAATTGCCTAGAGCTTTCGTTTGGCCATACGCTTGCTTGATGGATCGACTGACTTTCACCCATTTTACATCAGGAAAATACGTACTTTCATAAAAGTACAAAAAAGTACGCCTTTACTTAAAAGTAATATCCAAACAGTCTATTATTACAAAAAACATGTGATTATTAAAAAGGGTTGCTGAAGCTAAAAACTTAACCCTTTATATGGGCAAAACATTTTACATCTTGCCGGTGGCAAGCCCATTAGCAGTAGTTGGGTGAATGAAGGCATGTACCGGTAGTTTAAACTAGGTGCTCTGTTTAGTCTGGGAGGTGAGAGTGCGGTTTCTAGTATCCATCATTCTGAATGTTCATTCTCCATTTTATTGTTTAAATGAAAATTGGCTGCAGCACATCGCTTGACCGCGGTAGTCAAGCAAGGCTCTGCCCTAAATGCATTTCTCAATTGCACCGATGCTGCACAGATATCAATGGTGAAGTTAAGGCCATTCTAGAAGAGAACACGACTGACCAAGCTTCAGTGGCTGCTAATTTGCGACCGTCTATGATCTTGCCCTACTGCTACGCTGAAGGAGCTCGCCGGATGGGCTTATACCGAGTTCTCGCTGATGCGGAAGCCGTCCAAGCAATTGATAAGCCAGATAGTCCGTTCTGAGGTTGCACTTTTGCAAGATCTCTGCCGGCTGCCTGGACTGCTAAAGGCACCGTCGAAATGCTCAATATGTTTATGTACTGGATTTATGCATTGTTGAGTACGTACAAGCATGCGAGGACATGCAGCTCTATCTTTCTGGAGGCATGATAATTGGGCGTGCACGGGGGCATTGCGCGCACTAAACGTGCCTAACGCACCTTGATCACGCTTGGGGGGGGGGGGCGTGGCTCTGCCACCCGCAGCAGCGTTATGGCATTCGATGGCGTCACTCGTACGGTGAGTCGGGGCGGTCGATCTTGAAGCAATCGAGAGAGACTTAGAAAATCTGCGTCGCCTAATCCGCATCTACCCAAACTCCGACGTATTTAGCACGGATAAAACTAGTGTCTGCCACAACGGGGATCACTCTGCATCAATGAAGCACCGGTGCTGAAGCAAGACGATCTCGCCTCAACTTGGCTTTGTGCACGAACGCCACAAGGACAAATAAAATGTCTTTACGTTTCATAGGCAAGTCGTTTAAGCCCTGGTGTATCATCCAAAAGCCGAGCGACGTGCGCTACGTAGCGACCTCCCGGGCTTGGATGAACACCGCGACTTAACAAGCTTGGCTGAACGACGTCGACGATGCTATGCGTACTTAAGGTCGGCATGTTCCTATCCTCGTCGACAATGCATTCTGCCATTATGATGAAGGCCCACTTTTGACGAACGTACGCGTGGCAAAAGTTCCCCCGAACGCAGCTTTTAAACGCCAACCTCTCGACCAACGAATAATATATTGCGTAAAACGTGACGTCCTTCGCAAAGAAATGGAGCACGCCATTTTATCGGTGGACGAGGCGGTGGAAAATCCGTACAGAATGGGTGCCCTAAAAGCAATTGAGTGGTGCGCAAGTGCGTGGCGCGACCTACCTGTTCACACCATTGAGTATTGCTGGTTGCATACAAGGCTGATAAGTAAGCCTTCGTCTTGTAGAAGGGACGAGGCGCGGCTGTAGCAATGAATAAACCTTTCTTTTCCTTTTCATATCAGGTGTCTACTCAGTAGGCACATTACTGTATTGTGGGCAAATTTCCAACGCGGGCCAACTAAACCGCTCCAGTCCAATCTCCGGCCAGTTGAGCAAGCCTATCCAAGAGCATAATTTAGCTTACACATAAGGTTTCCCTTTGCAATCTTCGATCGGCAACATGATCGAAGGAAATGATGCTGGAGAAGCGGTGGCGGCGATCACTAGAGGTGGAACGCAAAGCCCATCAGAGGGCTCTACTGTGTGTGTTGCCGGCCCCCACTTGCCCTCTCCACAGCATCCAGATGAAGGTCCCTCGCGTGCACCACTGCGTACTCGAACACCAACTCGCGTCTCGCCATACCCGTTGCAGCTTCGGACACCCCCTCAAGCATTGATACCAACTCTACACCCTCGTTCACGAACGCCAACACCGCAAGGCCCGTCAGGATCCCGAAGGGTGACAACATCTTCATTGGAGTCGGATCAATTCCAGCTGGTTGTCAAACCCATTGTCAAGAACTCACTTGGACAGCGCGAAACCTCTGGTGAAACGCTAAGCAACTTTTTGGCGGAGGGATCCACCTTCCGGGACATCCTACGCAAGCTTTGGGAGAAGTTCAGCCATCGAATCAAAGGTCGGGCCGTCAAAATGGAAGGTGTTTGGACTATGGAGCCATCGCCAATGTCGGATTGGTCTCAGCTCATGCAGTTTAAGTACAACAATCACATCGTTGACAATGAAAAGACCGAGGATGCCTGGAACTTCTGGATGACCTCACGACGTGGTAAGACAATCAAGCTCACGATTTACGAGTACGGGACATCCATCACAAAGGCAAGGGACCTTGAATCGTTTACAGCAGCATGCGTACGACCACTTGCAACTGATCGCTCTGGTGCAGCGGCCGAGAGCCCCTTTCGCGACGTAGTCTCGCAGCTCCAGTCGCGTTGGGAGTCCAGTTTTCGCGCAGAAACTACTGTGTGGCGAATGTGGGCGACCCACATCACACGAAATCTGGATAGGTCTACATGGAGCGATGCAATTTCGGAACCTCCACCAGAGTATATTACAAGTCTTCGGAGGCCGGCCAATTCTCAGGCTGAACAGCAGGCATCCATCTGGTCACGATCAGCAAAAATGGCGCTAGACTGCGTAAATGTATCAAAAGCGGACAGCCAGCAACTGCGTCAAGATGTCGAAGCCCTGAGACTACGACTGGATGCCCAAGATAAGGCCCTGCTGGCGCGAAAGTCAGTCATTGAGGGGTTCCTCTATAATATCCCCCGCCCGCGGTCAGTGACGTGGTTGATCCACTTACGACAATTGAAAACGTTGATGACGTTGAACATCAAGATTAATTCGTCGGTAGGCACGAAGCACTCGCCTCACTTCAACCTACAAATACCTGCGTCTCTCAATAAATCCCAATTCATCTTCTACTTCCTCGGGCTCCGTATTATTACCACAAAGGTCAATGATGTGTCGATTCTCCGCTGCCATTGGACCAGTGGGATCGAAGTGACCCTGAATTCGCCAGCCACAGCGCTCAAACACGCTTGCCATACAATAACTTTCAAACCGGCGAAATGTTTTCACTACAAACGGTAGTAAATCTCGTCCGCTTTTCTCATTGTAATACCTCTGGAATGCCTTCTTGGTGTACCCAAACATGTACTCGATTGGGTTGAAGAATGGGCAGTAAGCAGGCAGAAATATTGGGACCACTCCAATGCTTCTAAGGAAGTGGACAATCTCCGGGTGCCTGTGTATCGTCGCACCGTCCAAAATCCACACAGAGTTAGGGCCTGGATATTGACGAACGTTTCCTCTGCTTGAATACGCAAAGTCTTTGCAGCACTTGACGAACTCAACACGATCAAAGGTTCCTTCGGTGTTGAATTAATCGATTACACCGTGAACACCAATGAAAGCTAATATGGACACCCTAGGTTTCCTCTGGAAATCACCTCGAATAGCAAGCGCTTTCCCTTTTAAAGCATACCCTCTCTTTCTTATCATCCCTTGATTGTCAAAAGAGACCTCGTCAAGAAAGACAAGGTTGTGGTGAGTCCAGTCAATGTTGCTCAGCTCTTCAACGAATCTAAATACATCTTGCCCCTTGATATGCATGGCACGCCTCTCGAGAACTTTGTAGGTCAATCCACAGTCGTGAATAATTCGCCACACTGAAGACTTTGAAATGCTGATGTGATGAGCGTGTTGGAAGGCATGTTGAGCTTCGTCAAGGTACGCAAGCGGCTTCTCCGAATAGAAATTGCAGATCCATTGCCTATGATCTTTCGTGAACTTCTTGTCGGTCGTCGACTTTGCCCGTTCGAATGTTCCCGTTGACTGGTAGACTTTGATCCAGTTACCAATCGTTTTGACGTTTTTGTTGTACACACGGGCGAGGTCCTGACGCGAATAGCCGAGATAATAAAAGCCATACAAACAGTGAAACACTGTACTTGGGTGCGCATGCTGTTTTGTAGCAGCTTCTTCCATTTCTCGCACTTCAACCGAGCAACAATAGCTCAAATCTAATGGCGCAACAACAAAACATGTAATTTCGGCACCGTATCCAGCAATACCAACCAAAAGTGTTGTACTTACCCGACTAGATTGTTTCCGAGCACTAGATATTGCAGTTTGATTATTCGAAGTCCCGAGATCTGCGGCTCGTGTGAACCTGGAACACAGGTAATAAGGTTAGCAAATACATCACTACATGTACCACGAAAGCTTATTCATGATACACCATGCCAGCGAGCAAGTGCCTGTGTCCTAGTTGCAGTAGGAAACACCAACATCCATGGAGGAGAAACGTCAAAATGAAAAGCAAGGCGCGCCACAATATATTTTAGCCCATCGCGTCGATTTGGTTACTGAATGGGTTGACTTGGCCAGCCTCTCCGCGCCGGCAAAGTCGAGCGAAATTGACAATATCTACCGCCCAGTACAAATGTTGCCTATTCCGATACCGTACCTGCATTTTCGAAATACTTTGTATTTCGAAAATGCAGGTACAGTATACTACGCAGTACTACTGCAGCTCTATTACTACTAGATAACTTTCAAACACTACTACAGTAGTAGGTGCATCCTTTATCAAAGAAAATTCAATGTGCACTAGTTTTGCTGCTGTTATTTGCAAAGGCTCAGAGCTTCGGAGCACAGCTCGCCTTTGTATTGATACAACCAGTTAGCTCTACATGTATTAATAAGTGTATACTATCCATTTTGCGCAGCGATTCTTAAAACGGACGACTCTCCTGTTTCTTGTTGTATTCGGCTTCGTGTGTCTGGATTTTTTCTACATAGATCCAGGGGGCAGCGACAGAGTGGGGAACGAAAAGTCTGCAGGCGCAGCATCGCATCCAGCTCCTTGAGACGAACACATCTGACAGACCTGAGAGTACAGCGAGCGACTGCAGCCGAACTGAGCGTGCGCGCACGTCGCACTGTTCTGGTAGCATTTGGGATTGGCAGCAGTCAAAGTCTCCACCGACGGCAACGGCGTCATGTTGGTACTTGTGCCGTTGCCGGCCATCTGGTTGTACATGGCTACCATTTGCGCGGCACGGTTGGCGTTGGCCGCCTGGTCACCAGGGTTTTTCCAGAAGTCGATGCATTGCTCTACCTCAAAGCCATGGCCAGTGTTCCTCGCCTTGAATTCAATGCCGCCGCTCTCACAGAACTGTTGGTAGTTGCTGTGACCCATTTTAGTGATGCCAACCAGGTCGTCGATATTCAGGTAGCCCAAAATCTTGTAGCTGTACGTGCAGGTTTCACCATCAGGTTGGACACCCATGGAGCACAGCCCACCGTTGTACTGGTTCCAGCACTCAGCAGTCTTCTCCGCGCGGTATTTTTGAGCGCATGAGTTCGGGAATGAGCACCAGTAGTTGTCAGGGTAGGGAGCGCGCGGATCTGAGCCCTGCGGGTTGCAACCAACATTCGGACCAATGTCCATGGTACCATCTAGGCCATAGTAAACTTTGCAGCTCTTCGGCAGATCATCGCCGGCGTTCGTGCACTTGGCACCATCCATGGCCACAAATTCACCGTACTCCGGGAGCGAGTGGTTTTCGTAGTACTTGATGCTATAGGTCGGTTGGACGATAGTCATTTCGTAGAACACTACATACTGCATGTTATTCTTGCGCTGGCACTTGACCGACTGCTCGTTCACGTTGATACCTTCAGCCTGCACGTACATCAGAGCCCCCTCGACGGACGCCGTATTGACTGTGTCAAGGTTGTTAACGTAGGCGGCCTCCGTGGTGTCACCGTATTTGGACAGCCACAGATTCGCCTCCGGATGCCAAACTGGTGGGTCTCCTTGAACGCGGGCCTGGATGATCTTGACGGGGGTCATGTGCCAATCACTGTTGCCATCGGCGAAAGCAGTGGCGCCAAGAACAGCGCAAAGCAGACCGAATCGACGCCACATTATGGAGCTGGTAGTTGATAAGAGTCTTGGTGGCCAAGTAAAAACTGGAATGGGAATGAGCTTGAATGCCTGTGTCCATGACAAAGTTTGTCTGTTCGCGTTGGCTTTGCAAAACGTACAGTGCCGGCCAAATGGCGATGCCAGAACGATCGTTGACTGGTGACCCTATTATACTAAAATACTATAATTTATAGGACTGTACATGTAGGAAGAGGCATCGGTCCTATCCACATGCGGTTGGTCTGGTCGAGATTTCAGCGTGCGAACGTCTGATCCAGTGTTGATTATTAATAAGATAACCGGTTGCATAGTAGTTTTCTTAATGTATCTAATTAATAAGTAATTGTAATATAATACTAATTAATAAAAACGGTATTAGAGCACAATTATAGCACTGATTTTTTGTAAGAAAGTCACTTTATCGGTCGGTCATGAGTTTTGTGGCTTTTTGAAACCACCTCCTGGATTGACCAATAAGACTCTATATTTCGTTTAAAAGCTAGACCTTTCCGCCAATTAGGGACCCTAATTTAGGGTACGATGAGAAATATCATTCACAGCTGAGAAATTTCGCAGAAGGACAGCCGATGGTAGGATTGTGACTCTAGCTTAGAATATACGTGCTGACTTGATTAAATTTAGAAAACCTTTACAAAAGAATTTCGACCCAAATTTTTAGGTCGCCCCCCCCCACCCAGCAACGTGTCCACATAAAACTGGAAGTGCCCAGATATACTTGTCGCAAATTCTACTTCGTCGATCGTCTTTTGCGAAAAATAAGTGTACAGTACTACTTTTGGATACTTCAAACAATCCTTGTTGTAGTGATACCGTCGGGAAGCCTCATTTATCGCTATCCAGAGGAATGGCTAGACCACTCATTCAAGGGTACCATCACCTTTATGGCTACTGCTGTATTGACCTTCAAAGGACTATGCCACACTGCCACACCGCAAAAAAAATATACAGCGTGAGCGTGCGTCAAGCCCTGATATGAAGCATACCCGCACCTATCTTTGTGAACTGCTGGAAGCACACGGGCCTTCTGGCATACCATAGATACCATTGTAGTGAATATAAAAGTTTTGAAGAGGAGGACACCACAACCGATGAGCTAACCGTGATGATGCCGAGCTTGCACACAAAATACCTGCTGTCCATCGAAGAGCTGCCAACCCGCTAGAAGAGAACGTATTTAATCGTAGACGAACCCCACTGAATTGGGTGCAAACGGGGCCGGAAGAATTGCTGGACTTTTTCGGACGTAGCAGCTCACCAAACGAACATTATCGTTCGTTACCTCTTGACAGTAATAATCTTAGATTTTGTATCACCAAGTAGAATCTGGGGGCTAGACTCCGATTTCCTTAGCTAGAGGGTATCACTATTTGGAATACCACTCCGAGGAGGATTGTCTGAAAGCCATTCCCAGACGAAAAAAATAAAATCGTGCAGGAGGGCTTTGCTCATACAGACGATCCTCTCTTTATTGATATCCCCAAAATTACTGTAGCCCTCCAAATAAAGTAACCGCTTGCTCACAAACTTAAGATAAGCTGACCTCTATCCTCTCATTAGTGAGCAGTGATGAGAAAATGACTTATTTTTCTACTCAGAGAAGCTTAACTATTGATTTGATTCGTTCTGACAAGGGCGACTGAAACTGTGACGGGGTCACACAGCACCTTGCGCTAGAGGAAGTTGGCTTCCGAGAGTATACAAACTCTCAGCGAACGGCAGTTCACAGGTCCCCTTTGCCTAAAGATAGGGAAGTGACCAATTTAAGGTAGGTTGTAAGCTGAGTCTACTTATAGGTAGGCTAAGCTTGAGTTAAATTTACAAACTATAAGTCACCTATATAAAAGCAATGTCATCAGCCAATGGTTGGCCTCGGACGACCCTGGTACCATGTACCAGATATCCCGAAGTATGACGTGTCATACTTCTGAAGTGTGACGTGTCACACTTCATGTAACTAGGGGAAGGGCTACGTACCCCGTTACATCCTCCCCCACTCAGGTTCGGCTTACCGACCAATCAGAATGGAGAAGTGTACGTCACAAACTTTCATTCTCATACATAGACTCGGCTACGCGAGCGCGGCGGAGGCTCACTTCACAGTTAGAGCCTCGAGCAGCGGTTGAGAGCTCTTCTTCTAGGTCTCCACATCGACCGTTATCATGCCCCGTGGCACTGCGAAGAGCGGTGCGAAGACACGCTCCAGGGTGGCTGCCGGGAAGGCGCAAGCCAAGAGCGCTAAGCCTCACGGCAAAGGCTCGGCATTTCAGGAGGCTACTAAGGTGGCCTCCGAGGCGATCGGCTCAACTAGTGGCGCGGCTGTGGGCAAGCGTACGAGCAAGCGCCGCGGTCCTTCACCCTCGGCCTCTCCAGACAAACTTCCGAACCCTCGGTTTGCTGAACGTGAGCTCAACTCGGGCAGTGAGGACGAACCCGAGTCCGGGAGCACACACGATGCTCCTGTGGGCTTTACGGGAGGGCACAGCCCAGTGCCCAGCGAGCACAAGGATGACAGCGTGCAGTCGCTCGCTAGTGATCACGGTGATCACAGTCCCAGGACGTCTGTGCGCTCTGAGAGTCCGGCCGTCAAGGCTAAGGGTACTCTTAATACTGGCGACGACAAGGAGGAGAAACCTCGCAAACGTCTCTCGCTTGCTGAGGGTCTTGCGCGTGCTAAGGCCGCTAAAGCCGAAGGCGCCAAGCCCTCTAAGAAGCGTTTGGCTTGAAGTCTCCACTCCGCGAGGGGAAAGAGACTGGCCATTCTCGTCGGGGCCTCTTCGGCTCCTCGGATGAAGAAGACGAGGAGGAGGGGGAAGAGGGTGCTGTCTCTGAGCCCCGGGGGATCACGAATGACCTCGACCAGCAGCAGGAGGACTTCCAATCTGCCCAGCGCACGCGTGGGGGTTCGGTGGTGGCACCCGTCAGCCAGGGAGTTGCCATCAACTCAAGAGGGTATTGGCCTCCCGAGGAGAGCTCTGAGGCTGACCTCTTCCAGGAGCTTCTTGTCGCTCCTCGTGGCCTTGCTGGCGGCCACACCTCTAGGGGCGGCTACGAACGTACCCTTGTCCAGAGGGAGCAGTTGTTTGTTGACAACTTGGAGGCGGCTCGGTGTGTGCTTCTCGCGCCACACCGCATCCCTCTTAAGGACTTCATGGCTTGTCGTAAGTAGACCGAGAACCGAGGTACTCTCTACCCTCTCTGGGGCTACCCCTGGGGTCTTCCTGAGAACTGTCCCAACTGGAGCTCATGGGAGGACATGTTCTGGGCTTGGGTGGAGTCTCTCAAGTACTCATCCTCGGAGTTACGGGAACTCCATGAAGATCAGCTGCTATCCCGCATCCTGGGCCAGCGTGATCTTCGTGTTCGGTTTGCCCACTAGGTCAGAAAGCGTATGCTGTCAGGGACATTCTGAAGCGCACGGCTTCTGGCGCTCAAGATGAGCGCGGGTACGGAGTGTCGTAAACGTCCGTACCCCGTTCGGGCAAGAAGCCCCGGACTACTTATGAAGCTACCGCCGTTTCTGCTCCCAGATTGCGAAAGCCTTCGTGCAGTCAATCAGGAGCCGTTCAATCCGCTCCTACATGTTCTCGAAGTGGGCATAACCCCTTTACTTTATGTAGGAGCTGTCGCTTACCACGACGCCGTTGCTCCTGGAGGATCCGCTCCATGTGGTAGTGGACTTCTCCATTCCGGTCAAGCAGGAGCGAAGGTGTCATCGTACCAGTACGAGTACTCGGCGCCTCCCGAACGCTACTCTCGTCCGAGTGCTTCTCCTGCGGGTCCGAAACAGAGCCCTGAGGTTGACCGCCTCCGTCAACGTGTCCTCGTGCTTGAGATTGCACTTGGCCTTGGGACTGGCGGTGATGCTGCCGCCCAGGCCGAAAATCAGGGCGAGCTCGCTCGCCTTGCGGGTCGCCTGGACCTGTTGGAGCGAGAGGTCGCGAGCCTGCACCTGCGGGTGGATCGCCGGGCCTCTTCGTCCGATCTGGACGAGGCCTTTCGCATGATCAGACGGATCGAGGCTTTGTTGCCACGTCCGGAGCCGCCTGCGGCACACTCCCAGACGTACGCGTATGGTGCGTACCCGGCGTACTCAGCGTACTCGGCGTATGGTTCCGGGGTCCGTACGTATGGAGCCCCTCCGGCGTACTGTCTCGACCGCAGCCTTGCCGTTCAGACCGAGGCTTGGGTGCCTGCTCCGACGCCCTCGCCGACGTCTGTGGCCGGCCCTCGCTTCAAAGAGCTGGGCCAAGGTGGGTCTGCGAGTCAGCAACCCCCTGCGGATCAACGTACCGCTTGCGACGTCCAACATAGAGCGTCGGGTGCGTCGTCATTGACTTAGGCTGGTCGATGGTGTACGACGCACCATGCCTGGCCAGGACTGCGAATGATCCGATGAAGCGGTGCTTCAGTTTGCTGCTGCCGACGGAGCTGACAGTGTCTAGCGGTAGGCTCCTCGTGTCTAATAGCACTAGGTCCCCCACTTTAAATACACTTAAGTTTTCTCTTCCATGTTTGTCAGAGTACTCCTTTTGTCTGTCCTGGGCCGCTGCCATGGCATCGCGGACCCTGCGCCCAGCTTGGTATCCACAAAGGATTCCACTTGTTTCCGCAGCGAAAATGGTCTCACATCTGAGACCTGGGAGGAAAGAGCTTTCCGAGCCCCTCCTCCACTTAGAATAGAGGATAAAGTGTCTCCTCAAAGAGTGAGAGGCACTATGGGGTGACGAAAGCCGTTCAAGTAGAATGGCGAGAACCCCGTGGACGCGTGCACCGCGTTGTTGAGCGCAAATTCAGCAAGTGGAAGCTGCGTCGACCGCTTCCGCGCACACACTGCGCAGAGTGTCCTCGAGCACTCGATTGACGCGCTCTGTCCGACCGTCTGTCTGCGGATGGCCCGCAGTGGACCTCTGCAGACGAGTTCCCAGTAAGGGAAATAGCGTTTATCAAAACGCAGCCGTGAACCACGGGTCTCGGTCCGAGACAATCGTCTCCGGGAGACCGTGATAGTGGAACACGCCATCAACGAACAACCTCACGGTTTTTTCACCTGTGACGGTAACGGGTACCGAGCGAGATGTACCATCTTGACACACAAAACCAAAATTCCATTGTTGCCGTGTCCGTCGGTGGGAAGCCCAAAGATGAAGTCAAGACTCATAGACTTCCAGCAGTCAGCCGGAACGGGCAGGCTCTGCAGTGGAGCCAAATCGTGCCCTGCGGGTTTGACCCGCTGACATGTTTCACATGTCTTCACGTATCGGGCGACCCACTTGTACAGGTGGGTCCACCAGAAGGCCTGAGAGACCGACAGGAAGGTCTTTCAGATCCAACGAACCTCCACGGGTGGTCGTACCCAACCACCCGTGGAGGTTCGTTGGGCTCCCCCCTGTAATATAGGGGACCATATCGGTGGATCCAGGAGCGCTGTCGCGACGAAAGCCAGTCGGACTTCGCGCTCGATCCTGCTGCGAGGAACTTGACGACAGGCGCGACAGCCTCATCGCCCGATACGCCATGCGTATCCAATCATATAGATCCGTTGTCACCCGTGTGATGTGGGCCAACGCGTAGTCTGGACGCCGAGAGAGGGCATCCGCAAGCACGTTGAGCTTGCCCGGCTTGTACTCGACGCGGAAGGTGTACTCCGCGAAGAAGGACAGCCACCCCGCTATCCGTTGGAAGAGATGAGGCAAATTTGTCGCCGTCTTCAAGGATGCGTGGTCTGTGTAGATCACGAAGGGCCGTGAGCCCAGAAGGTGAACCCGAATTTTCACAAGGGCATATGTCATTGCCAGGGGCTCCTTGTCGTGGACAGGGTAGTTCGGTTCGGCGGCTTTGCGCTGCCTGGACTGGAACGAGATGATGACTCTTTCATGTCCAGCCGTGTCGGCCTGCAGCAGTGCACACCCGATGGCATAGTCGGAGGCATCGCAGACGACGCTAAACGGCTTCGTCTTGTCCGGCAGGGCCAGGACAGGGGCCTCTTGGAGACTGGCCTTGATGCTGTCAAAGGCATCCTGGTGCTCTTGCTCCCAGATCCAGTCGGCGTCCTTCTGAAGGAGGCCCGACAAGGGCTTAGAGAAGCCCGCGTACACTGCGCTGTACTTGTGAAGGTAATTGGCCAAGTCCAACCACATTCGAATATCCTTCTGGGATCGGGGTGTTGACCATGCTGCTATGGCCTTGACCTTGTCTGGGTCAGCCCGAACGTCTACGTTGCCTACGAAGCAACCGAAACCTTCTTCTCTCTGGTGGCGCGAAGACGCACTTGTCGATGTTGGCGTAGAGCTTGTTCGCTCACATCACGTCCAATACTCGTCGGAGGTGCCCTAGATGCACATCCATGGCCGTCTTGCCTCCCTCGGCACGGCTATGGACGAAGATGTCGTCGAAGTACGTCTGTACGAAGGCGCGCAGTGACCTAACCAATTGCGTCACCAGGCGGTTGAACGTCGCCGGGGCATTAGACAAGCCCTGCGGCATGACGAGCCACTCCTAAAGCATGCCGCTTGGAGTGCTCACCTCGGTGAGCGCGATGTCGCTCTCGCGCATCAGGATCCGGTAGTATCCGTCTACCAAATCCAGCGCACGGTACAGTGTGCTTCCGGCCATGTTGTTCAACAACACATCCTTTCGTGGGATTGGTGTTTGGGTCGGCACCGTCGTGTTGTTCAGCTTGTTATAAGCATAAACTAGACGCCACTTTCCATTCGACTTCCCAATGCAGAAAGTTGGCGTGGAGTGCGGGGACTTCGACTCCCGCACCATGCCTGCTTTCGCTTTCGCAGCGAAGAAGACATCCATGACCTCGCACTGTTCGGGGGAAGAGACCATTGTCCCGTGACACAGTACTTTGTGCCAGGCACGAGATCGATCTCATGCCGTACGTCTCGATCTGGTGGGAGCTGGGTCGGTGGGTGTTTGTTCACCACGTCCGCACACTTCGTCACCAAAGGATACACCGAATCCTTGGGGTTCTTAAAGATCTCAGAACCCAAGCGCGTCTGACGCTGCAAGTTCAGCTCTTCCAGGACGTCCTCGTCCAAGACAGAGGAGGAGTTCAACTCCTTCCGTGTTGTCTCAGGGCTTATGAGCATCATCTCGGCAATCTTCCCAGCCTTGAGGTTAGCCAGGAAAGCCTCGACCGTCATTTCCTTGAGGTTCAGTATTTTTGCAACCTCTGGTAACGGCTCCAAGTGGACACCAGATGCCTTGACGGGTAAACCGGTCTCGCCCGGCCCTGGACGCCGAGTCGATTGAAGCGACCTCGATCTGAACGAGGTTCAGATCCGACTCTCGGCGGCGGCGTCGTCATCGACGGCTCCCGTGACGTTGAACTTTGTAACCCCACGTCTGGGGATGTCGGAGCGCCGACATCCGAGGCACTCGAGGCCTCGTGTGGTACTGTGTTACCCACACAGGAAGCGTGTCCGACGTCTTCCGCTTCAGTTAAGGTCTGGGCGACCGTGTGTAGAACTCTGTTACCCACCTTGAACACGCTATTACCAGCGTTCGTGACAGCTGCAGCTGTCTGCGGAACTATGTTACCCGCTTGTGAACCTAAGCTACCCACTTGGCCAGCGCCTCCTCTGGGCGCCGCCACCATCAAAACGCCCTCAGAGTCGTCATATACGTCGACGACTCTCAAGCATCTGCTGGATGCTTCGGTACCCTGGCAACCCATGCGGGCGCCCCGGGTCCTGACAGAGGTGGGAACATGACTCACCAATGCTCTGTCGGACTTCGCCGTGCGGCCAACACCGATTGCCTTGCCTCGCCAGTCGATCCAGGGCATGCCCAGGATCATATCGTAGGGATCCATGTCGAGAACAGTAAACTGTTCGAGGCTGTCAAAGTCTTTAAACTTGACGGCCAGATCCACTTGGACGTTGGGGACAGTGACGACCTTTCCGTCGGCCAGTCGCACTGACACCGTCCCGTTGCCCTTGCTTTCTCTCAACGCATCGGACAATTTGTTGCTATTACGAGCAACCGTCTGGCGGCGTGCAAAATTCTTCGACGCCCCAGAATCGATCAAGATTCTAAAGGGGTGATCGTATCCCCGTACACATCCGTGTACTACAAGCCACCCGCCGCTGCTCTTCGCCGATTCGAGAATGTGAAGACTCTCAGGGGCTAAGTCCCCGTGGTACGCGCCACCCGCGCACCCCTCACCAATACTTAGTTCTTCCCAAGTAGGGCGCTTCGCCCTTACTAGTCTCCAGCGTTTCCCGGTCGTCTGGATCCTGGCTTCTCCCAGAGCCCCTTAAGGAGGGCTTGGGGACAGTCCGCCTGTGGTCGCGCTTGAAGTGGCCCAGCTTCCCGCAGCCGAAGCAGAGAATGTCGCGCTGCTCGGAGGACCCGAGTTCCATGGGAACTGGTCCGTTGGGGTTTGCTCGACCGGGATTCGACAAAGAATTTCGAGGCCATGCTGAGGCCGGCGTGCGCGCCTGGCGATGGCTGTATTCTTCCTGAAGAGCCACTTGAATCGCCTATTCTAAGGTGCTTGACTGCACCCGGAACAGCTGAGTGTGCGCTGGGCCCACTCGAAGGCCATCCGTGAACACAGTCATCTTGACGTGTTCGTTGAGTGGGTCTCCCGCTAGGGACGCCGTGAGCTCCCGTATCTCTTGGACGTACTCGTGCAGCTCGCGCCTCCCTTACTTGCATGAGAGGAAGCGCAAACGCTGGCAGTACTCGTCGTTCGCCGGGAGGAACGTGGCTCGGAGCTGCTCGCACAACTGAGCCCAGGATGTGAGACATTCAGGGGATGTTGCCTCCCGTGTGTACACCCAACACTTAGCACGATCGCTAAGGTTGGAGAGTGCAAAAGCAACACGAAGTTGCTCGGTCGAGATCAGAGCCGCGTCCATCGCGAGCTCTACCTCTCGGACCCAGAAGTGAAGGTTCTCACCTTCCTTCCCTTCATTCGGCTTAACCTTCAGCCGCATTGGCTTCGGGTGTGGCGGATTGGTCTCCGCCGCCGGAGCCTGCAGGTTCTCCCGCACATGTGCGATGAGCATCTGCTCGTAAGCGTCAAACGCATTGACGCCCTCGAGCTGATCGGCTGGTGATGACTCCACCAGGCTCTGCAGGGCCTCCATCCCGAAGATGCCAGCCATCTTCCGAACCGACTCGAACTGTGAGTCGTTCAGATCGAAGAAGTCGTTTCTATCCATGGCAACGAACTTCAGAGAGGTTCAGGTAGTCTATCCGCGCTGGCGTAAATTGACTACTAGTGCTACCAAGTCTGACGGGGTCACACAGCACCTTGCACTAGAGGAAGTTGGCTTTCGAGAGTTTACAAACTCTCAGTGAACGGCAGTTCCCAGGTCCCCTTTGCCTAAAGGGAGCGAAGTGACCAATTTAAGGTAGGTTGTAAGCTGAGTCTATTTATAGGTAGGCTAAGCTTGAGTTAAATTTACAAACTATAAGTCACCTATATAAAAGCAATGTCATCAGCCTATGGTTGGCCTCGGACGACCCTGGTACCATGTACCAGATATCCCGAAGTATGACGTGTCACACTTCATGTAACTAGGGGTACATCTAGGGCTACGTACCCCGTTACAGAAACACATGTTGAGTCCACAACGCAAGCTGGGCCTGGCTCATTGATGGATTTTCAGTTTTGTGGCGGCAGATCTGTCGTCACTGTTCATTCGTTAGCCTGCTTCGCGACGTGGGTGGGGCCTTAGTGGGCTAAGGTTTACGCGGTATTGCAGTGTAATTGATAAATGCCATGGAACGACGGCCACCCGGTGTCGTGTGTACCTTATATTGGGTACAATTCCTTATAGTGATTCCTCTTTATAATAATAGAATGTGGCCTCCCACGCTAATAATAGAGAAATGTTATATTCACACTAGCCAATCTGACTAACACACAAACTCCTAGATGATGTATTTTCTGCTCTCTCCATCAATGACCTATCCCGTCTATGCTGTCGCAGAGCCATCCTTAGTGTTGCTTGCATGTGCACTGGCTGGAGCTGTGATCGGTGATTTCTGCTTGGGCGAAGCCCCATACAGAAATCACTGCACACATCGACGACGGCGCTCGTACCACGGTGCCGCGCCCCTCACCTGGCTACGAGCCATGGCGGGCCTTAGCGCGTCGGATCTGCTTGCGGCCAGCATGCACGCAGGCGACACGGTAGAGCTTTACTCCCATCTGTTCGTCTTTGGCGATGCTCGAGGACATCACACGACCAAAGTCCTCAGGATTGACGAGGACGTTAGCGCCTCGTATCCTGTCGACGTGGACACCGATGAGCCAATCCCGCGGGACATGATGGTGCGACTGGTTGTCGACCGCCACGGTAATCGCTTTAAGCCTGCGTACGCCATTTGGCGCACGCTTCGCTCGTATACATTAATACCAGGAGAGTGCAGTGCCCCCCGTCGAGCCGTTGCCTTTGCCAAGGCCATGTCGACCGCAGTCCGGGGTGCTGTGGAGTATGCATTCCAGCAGCATCGCGCTGGGTGTGAGGATTTTGTTGGAGAGTGCTCGCAGTCGGAGAGCGAGCCCAGCGAGAGACTATCCTGTACTGGAGACTCGTCGTCGACGTCCCGCACCTCCATCGTAGCCAAAGCAGCATCGGACGACGGCGATTCCCGATTGCCGAGCCAGCCTGTACGCGATAGACCAGCGGATACGCAGATGGCGGACGTGTTACCTGCATGTGTCGAGGCGGAGAGGTTGCCGTCCAGCACCATCCGCGTAGGCGATACAGCTGTGGACGTGAATGAATTTTCTAATGCACGGGAAGGAGATGGAAATACAGGCAAGGATTGCTTGCATTCGGTGGCACAACCTCGTCAGTCGGAGGAGTTAATTTCTGATCCCACCACATCCGACCCCATGAGCTCCAGTGCGTCCATTTCGAGCGGTGGAGATCACGGCGACGGTGGAACCGCTGGTGAAGCTGGTGAAGGTGCAGACAGAGATTTGCCACGCGAGGAAAACACGCTGTCTGCAACGCGTCCCTGCCAGTCGGTGCCAACTGACCAAAACGTGCTCGATGCTCGTGAGTACATACGTTCAGTTCCAACACGACTTGAAGGGAGAAGATCCGCTACCAGGCGAAGAAGTGTGCGGGCACTTGGTACGTCCCGCGTTCGCAGAAACGGCGGCATCATATGAAATGCGCAATTACGCGCAGTAGAAACCAAACCCATCATACCCGGAGTGTTCAGGCGAAAACCAATTGAAGCAATGCTCAAGAATGAAGAAGTTTACGCGCCCGCTACTCGAGGCAAGTTACATTTACGGAGATGCCCTGGCCTTCAGAAATTCGTGATATCAACGCGTGCGAGGCCATGGGAGTCAGGTTTCCAGACGTCGGTGCTGTACTCAAGTGTCACTGCGTCGGAGACTATTTCTGGGATAGCTGTGATAATGTCGAATCTGCTATCTACTGTACCCCGGTGTGCGCGCTGCAGCAACGCCCCGGTCGTGCGCTCTACTCTAGAGCTTTTGACAGTGTGCGCGTCCGTCTAGGTGTGTACACTAGGACGAAGCTCGACGTAGGAGACATCGTCGGCGAGTATACGGGTGTGCTAAGTGAGTGGAAAGGCAAGGTGGACGTCCAGCCCAAACAGACTTTGAAGCAAAACAGTGGCTATAAGCTACTCTACAACGCCAAGTCCATCTAAAAGAAGTTTGTCTACGCGGAGTCCTTTCAGTGCGGGCTCATTACGCGCTTCGTCAACCACGCCTGTGATCCCAACGCTGTATTTGTGAAGATGCAAAATCATCGGAACGTAAAGGTGTCCATTAAGATGATCAAGGGCGTCAAGGCAGGAGCTGAGATTACCGTCCACTACGGAAACGAACGTTGGTTCGTGTGTGCCTGTGACGACTGTTGGGAAGAAAATCAAGAAGAAGATGACGAGAAAGTAGGATTCGCTAGAAATGCGCATGCATTGTTTGCTTTACTGATCCAAATAAAAAGTAAACATTTTCAGTGTTGCCATCTACTGTAATCCAGAGATGCTGAACAGCTCAGTACCAAGGTATTAACCGTTTTCAATTTTCAACCTTTTCCAAGACCATCGAAACGATACAATTGGCATTGTTAATTTGAGCAAACACTGGAATCAAGTGTCATGGCCTCCGTTTATGCGAGGAAAACTGAAAAATGAGTTTTCCTCAATATTATACTATAAAGTACATTTATGTTCTTCAATGCATTTGCCAACATCTTCAAAACGTTTGATACGAAACATTCAGGACTGTTTGAAGTGAAATGCTCGCATGAATCATGCTATCCAAGTTTAGATGAATTAACTCCTACCAGAAGAAGCCACTAACACTGAGAAACCGTGGTGCTAGATCGACCAGCAGCCTCGGAATCGCCATCCTTGTGTTTGCACTTCTTCCTGCTAACCAAAATTTCGTGCCCTTGGTTATCCACACTCGCCGTCACTCGCATTGCGTACACCACATGCACGCAAGTGCCAAACACGAAGCAGTAGTTGCAGGGACACCACTGCATCTCAACATCAACGTTTCAACCGCCGTCCGGTTGATTCAAAGTCTCCATTCTAGCGTAATTGACGCCCATTTGAGCGGAAACAGCGATACCTTACTCACTTCTTTTATTAGAGCCCACCACAACCCGTGGGGCAAGCAACGCCTTCACCCGGATGATCTCCGGTGGTCCAGCACAGTCAGACTTATTTCCATTCGCATCAAAAGTAGACAAAAGGCGAGAGCGAACCAGCTCGGACACCCTGCGTGTGAGTGTTTGCGCTGAATGACACCGAACGCGAATGCCCTTGCACTGGTGGACTGCTCTTGGCAGCAGGCACTCAATTCCCTTAGAAGAGTACCCATTTTAAGACGGCGGCGCAACGTGTAGTCTCTCTTGAGCACTGCATTAAACGTCTCTGCAGAATTATTCGTAGTAGCGAATCCACGGGGAGTAGCGTACGCTCGTCATGTTCAGAAGGGTCCTTGCAGCCATTGAGCATTCATGTACTGAGAAAAGAGATTAAGTCGCGGGTCATTTTCCCACGTCTCCAAAATTGAGTCCCTCTTTCGCACAAACTCGTGTTCGGTCCGTGCGAAGTGAAGATCATAGAAATCTTGCACTACACTTGCAGCTAGATGCGAGAAAATTGGCTTGATCGCGCTCTGAGCTTTTTCCACCACGTGAAAAAAGCACATAAGAAATCGAAATCTTAGGTTAAATCCAAAAGTCGTGTATAAAGCGTTGCGTTGTGCGTTGTGCCATTGCGTATTGCACTACCAATTCCTTGCCAGTAACCCACGAATAGAGGCTGCGCATGGCTAGTAGCGCAGACTCGTACACAAACTGCATCTCTTGGGACACAATAAAGATCGCGACTAGGTGTTAGCGCCAAGAGCGATCGGACACTCCAACAACAACGGCAGGGAATTCCACGTGGTTTATCTTGTAGGTAGCGTTGACGTGTAGCACATAACTCTCGGGGTGAAGCATCATCCGCAGTAGCAGAGCCTCAGTTGTAAGCCCTATAATAAACGGTTTTTCATCGGATCCTTTTCCAACCACTAGTCTTCCGTCACAGTCGCAGTTCCAGCCGAACGCAAGTGATTGAGTCATTTTCTCGGAGCCATTGAAGGCATGAACATGAAATCACGCATCAGCTCCTTGAGACGATCGTGATTTTCCAAGTAGGTTCTGGAATAGTGGTTTACAAAGTTTTGCACTGTAGAGAGGGAAAGCATGTCGTCTAGCGGTGTGCTGAACTTGCGTGACAGCGCATTGCGGATACGCATCGGTCGTAGTTGCTGATCGGCCATCTCACGGCAGAAACGTTTCTGCGTCTGCGTTAATTTTTTTTCGTTTTGTAGCCTGAGCTGTTGTCAAATGCTCGCCAAACTCTTAGATGCACGCAACATTTGTATCGCTGCATGTCACGACCTTGCCCCACCACGAAAACTCCACCGAGATGGCCTCGCCGGCCTCAGCACACGCCTCACACGCGCACCCCAATAGTCTGTTCCGCATTTTATTCTCGGAGCCGTTGCATGTAGTGCACGCTATGATGTTGCTCTTGGTGATGTCAAGGCCTTTAAACCGTCGAGCACCACATCCGCGTCACTTTCGCGGATGTCCGCCGAGGGATACGCCTCAGCATCTCTCCTCGGGCGGAACGTCGAGAATAGCGTCCTTCTCGTAGATTTACAAAATCAGCCGGTGCGACAAGTTGGGTTTAAAGGTGCTGGTTGGCTTAAATGAAATGTTTTCAGCTGCATCATGGTGTTTGTGATTGGATAAACTTAAGGTAGTGTACACTGAATGACGACCTCACGGTAAACAACGCAGTTGGATAGCTTAGTTGTTGGCTTCCCTGTTTGTGCACCGACACAAAAAATAAGCAATTGATCGAATTCAACGATTTGTTGTGTGCTGACCCAGCACTTTGGGGCGGTGACCCACGTTGGATGTGCTGCGCCATGTTTCGTGTGCCAACTCAACACGTTTTGTTGCCAGTCACGCGCTCTCGTAATAATACAGAGAGGATCGTCTGTGCGCACAAGTAGAAAAATACAGGATTTTCTGAACAAACTTGCGCAAAACCCGTGCACGTTCAAGGCGGTACAGATTAGCCATTCGGAGGTAATCCCTGCTCTTAGAATACCTATGACAAGAATAAAATATCGGATCCCGATGCCTAGCAGCACACAAGCCTAAGATTATATTACCTCTCCCTCGTGATATAAATTACCACAAATGACTTCTCTGACATTCTACTATGGGAGAGTCACTATTGTGCAACCCATGCTATCATCATTTTCATTTTTACATTTGCTGTCGAGTTCTCCGCCAGGCAAACCTATTAACAAGCGGGACCCGCATCACGCTCACCAATGCTATCAAAGCGTTGCAGATTTGCTAGCATCATGCCATCCACCCCAACCTGTAGCAACAGCAGGTAGCCGAGTGGGCTCATGCAATCTTGTCGCCGCCATCACAAGGAGCACTCTAGCTACTGAAGCGTTAATGCACTGGAGGCAACTTTATAGCTAACCGTCAAGTCACAGCATAAGATGCTGCTTTACAGGGCCAGCCTTCGGATTGGGTTCAGCACCACTAAGGCCCATGGATCAGCCGTGGAGGCCTCGATCATCAATTTGCAGCGTAAGCTAAAGAAATACATGTACGAGCTGCGAAACATTTTTAACATGGACGAGATCGGTTTGTTATTCTGTATGCGAACTCTCATCAGAAAGCGCATGTCCGGCAGAAGGACAAAACACGGATGACAATTGCAACACAGACGGTTGCCTCCTTTATTTACAAAAGACTCTCGTGGTTCTTAAATGGAGACTACAGAGCGTTGACATGCTCGGCTGGCCTTTTGTTTGTGTACCGTTTAGAAGGTACATTTGGCGCAGCCACCCTTCAATAAGAATACCCTTCGATAGAAATAAATGTTGGCTCCCGGCGCTATAACTACGGAAGGGTTCATCTGTATGCGAAATTCGCATTGCGCACGCAGGGGCTAATAGTACTGAAACAAGGTAGGAACAATACCGACCCTCACAGGTAGGCTAAGGGCATCTCCACCGCGCCATCAGTATCCTAAGCTTTTCAGCAAATCGGTGAATTTCGCGGTAAGTTTGTTTATCCGTAAAATGTGGCACCCAGTACCACGAACACAAATTAACCCGTATGGTAAATTGATATACATTGCTGCCTTGTCACCTAGAATTTAGGTAGTGTTTATTTCGCCTTATGAACGATGTGTACTAGGCGATATAATACTTACGAGAAGTGTTTGTATTCCCTCGTACGATAGATGCTTCGTGTCCATTTTGCTGACGTCGGTGATAGCACCACCACTATTACAACTTGGTAATATCTGGTAATATCTCCAATCCCACAGATATCGGTGGTAGCTTCACAAACAGTGGAAACGCCGGAACATTGGGGTTCCAGAGCTGGCGGCTCATCGTCATCTCGAGCCATACGTTCCAACTGCTGTGAATACCCATACTAGCTTGACAAGCTTTTGTGTGCAATACCTCATAATAAGACAAGTTTTGAATCGTTGACCTAACTTGTTTTAGCAATCATCCCGATTCCGAGGGAATTAACCTCTCGACTCTCAAGCACGTCGCCTAGGCCCCGCAGCCAATTTTGTAATTGT